TAACCATGGTTTTGTGTGAGATTATCGTAATTATCGTTATTGACTTAATTGATGTAGGTAATTTGCCCTTTCTAGATCGGATTCCTACAAGCCCGAATGGGAATAGTGCCAACTTGGGAAGGAGCTCACTATTTGCCATCTATAGTTGGACGATCGTCTGCGCTGAGAATACAGACAACTGCACCAATAATCACAGCACAAGAGGCGAAGGATCTCGGCTTCGTTGATGTCATATACGAAAAGGATGAAGAGTTTGAGGTGAGCTAGCTTTACAAATCTAGAATCTTATGTTATTCTATGGATCATGATTTTTTTCGAATTTCCGACTTTTCCAAATATTAATTCAAGGAGTTGGTCGCGTCAATGTTGAAAAATGGAGCAGATGTTTGTAAAGCACAAAAAGCAATGATTGACGCAACAGAGAAAGGAGAGGAGGCTAAGCTCGGTAGGTTATATGATTGCCTGATGAAATTTGGACTCGAAACCTTGCAAATTATATTTTTTTCTTAATATTTCCCATTTACCTATACCGTCTTAAAATTCCACAAATTCGAATTCTTCATTCGTACTTTCCTTTCATCTTATTGCAGCCGTCATCCGTTCCGTATGGGGAGGCAAAGCTCAAAAACAAGCCATACAACGGCAGCTCGATGCAGTTGTAAATAAGAAATCGAAAAAGTAGCTCTGATTAATTATTTATTTTCTTACAGAAAATTTGTATAGTGCTCAACTGATGTTTTAAGCCTTGCCAGGTTTTTTTGATAGGCATTTCCATAAATTTCTGTGACATACAACATGATGAATTTGTTAGATATTTTAACTCTTTGTCTGTGCTATGATGAAGATTCTATCTGAATTGTGTTTTGCTAGTAGCTAACACAGCAACATCTTTATTGACATTAAGGCTTTTTATCTACTTCGGGACCGCCTGGGGCACCTGACGGCGGAGCACGTTTACTCCTTTTCGATTTTGATTTCTTCTTCTTTTTCGCTGCAGTAAGTTTACAAAATCAGCTTGTTTTGATTTGCATAGAAAATCTCAATGTAAAAGACAAAAATTTTTCCACTTACTTTTCTTTTGCTTTGATGGTCTGAAAATGTAATATGGTTAGAGAACTGATTTTCGCGCAAAAAGCTTTATGCCTGGATTCTTCAATTTTCCGAGTTATTCGAATTTGTTGAAACTTACTTCTCTCCTGCTGCTGCAGAGCTTCCAGAAGAAGATCCAGAAGGTGCGTCACCAAGACCTGGTCCCGGTGCCTGAGGGGTGCTTGCGGCTAAATCGGCTACTTGCTGTCGAAGCTCTTCTGAAGGAGTAACTTTCTTTTCTTCTTCCTTTTCCTGTGACAAAGAGATTTCAAAATCAAGGCATAAAAGATCTAACGAATGATCCCCAAGAACAGAAATGCTCACTGATGGTGGTTTGTTGAGAGCGGTTGTCGTGGAAGGTTCTTTAGGTTCGGCTGGTTCCACTGGTAATCTTCTCTGAAAAGCTGTCAGAATCCATCTAATCCTAGGCAAAAATAGTAACTATAGGCATAAACTCAATCATTCAAGTATTGGAAATGTTGATTTATATTGGTCCTCATTTCGACAGTCACTTGTGTAATTGCACTACTTTTTCAAATTAC